ACACACGCTCACTCACTAACACGCACACTCACTCACCGTCACATCCCCGCACGCACACACGCTCACTCACTAACGTGCACACTCACTCGCCGTCACATCCCTGCACGCGCACACGCTCACTCACTAACATGCACACACACTCAGTCACTAACACGCACACTCACTCACCGTCACATCCCTGCACGCACACGCTCACTCACTAACGTGCACACTCACTCGCCGTCACATCTCTGCCACGCGCACATGCTCACTCACTAACACGCGCACACGCTCACTCAGTAACACACGCACACACTCACTCAGTAACACGCACACACTCAGTAACGCACATGCACAGTTACTCACTTATGCACACTCACTAATGCGCATACACTCAGTTAACATGCATACACCCTCATTCCAATGCATGCACACACACTCGCTCACTAACACACGCACACATACTCATTTGTTGAGGCACACACATACTCAATAACACACTCACTCACTAACACACACACACCACACATACACACACAAACACTCATTCATTAACACATACACATACTCACTAACACACACATAATGTCACTCAAACACAGGCACACACTCATAACACAACACTCCACATGCAGTCATTCACACACACACTCACACACGCATGTGCACACACATCCCCACACATACGGATACAGACAGACACCCACACAAACATACACTGTCAGAGGATCACTGCTTAGGAACTGCCAGGGTATTGGAAGATCACTACTGAGGGAGCGCCGCGCTGTCGGAGGGTCAGCGCTGAGGGAGCGCCGCGCTGTCGGAGGGTCAGCGCTGAGGGAGCGCCGCGCTGTCGGAGGGTCAGCGCTGAGGGAGCGCAGACTATTCTATTTGTTGTAGTGTTGGAGGTTAGCGTTTCTAATGGGTGTTAGTTGCTGTGGTCCTTTTGTTTCCGCGAGATGATGTGGGCTTTTCCCATGAATATCAGTTCCTGCACCTTATCCCTGCCTCCTGTTCAAACAGACATGTGTAGTTCACAGCGATGCCTCCCGGTGTCCCTGCTGACTTGTGTTTTTTCTCTCCTGCCAGGATCACATATATCCCCTCCACTGGCGGGGTGCATTCCTCTATCCCCCTGGTCAGCTCTGCCTCCTCCATCCACACCGGGGCCAGCAGCACCTACCGCCAGCCACATCCTGTCGCCCTTGGATTCACCGCCATTGCCCCCGACGGTAGGACAGTGCTACAGCCCCTCCTGACAGGTAGGGCACGGAGCGAGGCTCCCCTCACGCTGCCACCCTGCACAGGACTGAGGCTCACTCCGGGGACACTGGGGGTGGGGGGAGAGGTCACTGGGGGAGACCGGGGGAGAGAGGCCACT